GAATAACCAGGAGCCGGCCGCCCCTTCCCCATGCAAGGGCACGGAGAGCTCGGGAGGGACGTGTGGAACTCGAGGTGTCTCCCACCCTGAGCTCATTGTGTACAACGGGGAGCCGGGAGGCAGCCACGGCTGGCAAAGGAGGGCGCGGGGCTTGGGTTTCCATCGCCGGGGAGGGAGGGGATGCGCTGCCAGGCTGCTTGCGGGGGGGAACAAGGCACCCTTTGTGCAGCCCGGTGCTCTCCTCCGCTGCCCCGCGCTGACTCACGGCTTGTTTTCCTCCAGCTCTGCTCCTGCCTGCCGTCCGCAGGAGGGAAAGGTGCCGTGGGGCGCAGGGAGGGCAAAATAACCTCACTCTTCGGGTCCCCAAAGCGGTTGGGGTGCGGAGCAGAGACCCTTCGGGGTACCGCACGCCGTGGCACTGTGCTCCTTAGGGTTACACGGCCGTAAAGCCTCTTGTCCAGGAGCTGGCAGGGGGTAGTGGGGCCCAGCTGTGCCCCACGGCTCAGCCCCACACTTTGGCCCCTGGCAGTGGGCAAAGGTAGAACATGGCTTTGGCAGAGCTGTGCTGGGGTTACAAAGGGAGAAGGGGTGATTGCTAAACCCACCCTGGGGAGGAACTGAGGTGAAGCAATTGCTGTGGGGCAGGAGAGGAGGAAAGGGCTCCAGGTGGGCACAGGGAAAGCTTTATAGGAGTAGGGCCATAGAGTCATAGAATGGTTTGGAAGGGACCTTAAAGCTCCTCCAGCTCCAACCCCTGCCACGGGCAGGGACCCCTTCCGCTAGAGCAGCTTGCTCCAAGCCCCTGTGTCCAACCTGGCCTTGAACACTGCCAGGGATGGGGGCTTTTGAGACCATTCTATTGAAGTGCAGGTGCATCACAGGCCACCCCCCATCCCTGTGATGTGTGGTGAACCCATGGCATGCACAGAGACCCCTTGTCACCAGCCTCGGGGCAGAAGGAGCTGCAACTTGGGCCCTTCCACCACGGGACACAGGGCTGGAGGCTTCCTGAGCTCCCTGCCCCGTGCTTTCCTTCAGTGCCTGCCTTGCTAAGGGGGCTCGTGCTGAGCTCCGGAGGAGCAGGGGAACACCCCGGGTGAGTTACTGCAGGAGGAATGCTGCTGGGTGAGCCGGATGGGCAGCGGGAGAGCCACTTCCCTGCGTGACAGCTCAGTCCTGACAGGAGATCAGCCTCTTCCCCCGCGCGGGACGTGAGCCGGTACCCGGTGTGATGCCCCCCCCCAGCACCCAGCAGCATCCTCGCTGCCGTGTCAGTGAGATCCCAGGCAGCTCGGCACAGGATGCACTGTGAGACATCGCCAGCACGGGGAGAAGCAGGTCTTGGAGGCTGCCAGCCACAGTTCCAGGCAGGAGAAGGGATGTTGGTTCAACAGAAGGGAAATGCAGCGGGAGCATCAGCTCAGCTGGAGCCCGGTGGGCCCTGCCAGGGGAAAGGCTTTGTGCAGCAGACCCCTACCCCCTGAAATGTGTCATCTACCACCGGGATAACACACTGGGACCACTGGGCCGGGCTGACTTTCCCGGCGTGCAGACAGGGAGGCGGCAGGATTCTGCTGCAGAAGCCGTTGGAGGTGTTAGGCGCTGCGCGCGCTCTCTGCCAGCCTCAGCTCCACGGTCACGATGCAGTGGGCTCCTGCGAGGTGCTGCACCCACAGGAAACCTCTAACTGCTGCGTGGAGGAGGCAGCAAGGGAGAAAACCACAGCGGAGCTTATTCCATCCTCCCTGTAACAGCTGATGCTGCTGCGAGAGGGGAATTACCCTGCTGTGCCGGGGGGTCCGGTATTCCTGCTCCGCTCCCTGTGTGGCTCCAGATGCGCCCCACGTCCTCAGCCCTGCTCCTTTGGGGCTGTACCTCGTTCCTGCCTGCTGCGGCGCACGGGAAGGCGGTGGACCCATACATCCCTATCTCTCGGAGGATCTCCGGGCTGGAAATCCCAAGAGGCCCAACTTGCCTCTCGGGATCAGCCTTTTAAATGAGCTTGGCGGCAGACACCCCTGCGATGGCTGGAGAACAAAGACTTCTTCCTTGGCAGGGCAAACGCCACCCCGACCCAGCTCCTCAAGAGAGGTGTTCCTCGCAGCTTTTAATGCCCGCTTCATCCAACTGGCTCGTCCTGTTCCAGGAGGGTTGGGCCTCCGCATGAGGAGCTCCTGCAAGCTTCTGTCTGGCAAATGTCATCAACGGCTTCGCCGTGCTGTGCCTTATCCGAACGCTGGGACCGGTTTGGAAAGGGCAGAGAAGCCCTCATTCACTTGGGGTGTTCTAGCAGCTCGGCGCGGAGAGGAGCTGTCGTGGAGGCAGGGTCAGCAGCACAAGTGGCAATTCCCAGTCAAAGCCTGGAGGTGCCTGAGGTGAAGGAGCTGCTGGAGCTTCCTCAGCCCACGTTCCTCATGGGGCGAGGGGCTGCCAGCGGCAGAACTACCCCAGTATCTGCTCATCTAATCAGAACATGACAATTGAAGGTGGAATTCCATTCAAATGCTGCAGCAGAGCTGAGCTGCCCTGTTGAGGGTGCGAGTCCAGGTTGGTGGCAGGAACCCCCAGGAGGCATTGACAGCACCCAGGACCCCGTAAGCAGTGTGAAAGCCACCAGGCCTTGCTCTGAATGAGCTCCAAAATGAGTGTTTGTTACCATAGGTGTCTCTTTACCCCGCTGCTGACTGTCAGCACATTGTCACTCTGTGCTGCTGCTTGGTTTTCGTCTATGGGATGGTTAGGGAGCAAAGAGTTCACCATGTTTTATATCGTATATATCCCTGTGTCTCCATAGAGAACCATAGAATCACGGCCTGGTTTGTGTCGGAAGGGACCTTAAAGCTCATCCAGTTCCAACCCCGTGCCACGGGCAGGGACACCTCCCACTAGACCCCATGGCAGAGCTGCTCCAGCCCTCACAGCATCCCCATGGCCTCCTCTGGCCTTGCTCCAGCAGCTCCACATCCCTCTTGTGCTGCTGCCCCAAAGCTGGATGAGGACTGCAGGGGGGATCTGGTTTTATGGCACAGCACCCCAAATGGATGTAGGGCCGTAACTGAAGGGGTGGTGACCTGTGGTGGGGTCAAACACCTCATGGTAGGAACACCTCCCGCTACCTTTCTTCTAATGTCTCCTAAACCAACCCCCTGGTTCTCTGCCAGCTGCAGGTGTGCTGATGGTTTGTATTGATTTGGTTGCAGGGAGCACCACGAGGAGGAAGGAGGCTGCAAGCTGAGGTTAACACGGGGGACGCCGTCTGCTGCACCACCTCCAGCCAGGTAAAGAGGGTTTCCTCTTTGCAGGGTTCCCTTTACCGCTGGCAGCTGTTCCATTGCAGAGCTGTGAGGAGGGCAGGTGGAAATACCAGGAGTTTGGGCTTCTGTTTGCTTGCACACAGAGAGGGGGTGGCTTGGGTTGGGTTTGTCACTGCTGGGGTGCACAGAGCGCACGGTGTGTCTGGCACGCCTCGGAACCCGTGTGATGGGTACATTCCATCCTGCCAGGCAAAGCTGGGAGGGCAGGCGGGTGGGTGGGTGTTTGAGTCACGCAGGAGCATTCAGCTCTTCACCTCCGTGCTGCTCCTTGCACCCAGTTCTGCTGCTTGTCTGTGACCTTCGTGGGTGCAGTCGTGCTCCTGAGGGTTGGTTGGGCCATTGACTGAGCAGGGTCCGGCCATGGGGGATGCCTGTCCCCCATCTGTGTGCAGTTCTGGGGTCCTCAACATAAAAAGGACATGGAACTGCTGGAACAAGTCCAGAGGAGGCCACGAGGATGCTCAGGGGCTGGAGCACCTCCTGTATGAAGATAGGCTGAGAAAGTTGGGGCTGTTCAGCCTGGAGAAGAGAAGGCTGCGGGGAGACCTCAGAGCAGCTTCCAGTGTCTGAAGGGGGCCTATAGGGATGCTGGGGAGGGACTCTTCATTAGGGACTGCAGTGACAGGACAAGGGGTAACGGGTTCAAACTGAAACAGGGGAAGTTTAGGTTGGATCTAAGGAGGAAATGGCCTACATGGAGCAGTGGCAGGATCAGAGGGGTCTTGTGAACACCCCAGGCTCACCTGAGCCTCCTCTGTGTAGCTTAGTTGTAGTCTAGGATGTCACTGAGATGCTCTGCACTTCAGACACTTCTTAGATCCAAAACTTTATTTGAACAAGTAAATACAACTGTAAGAACTTACAAATATAAAACCTGCTTGTACAAATCCCCCAAGCACCCCAAACTTCCCGTTAACACATGGGTTTGATACAGTAAAAACTCTGAGCTTCAACACAGCTCGTAACTTAAAAGACAAGACTTAAATGTACTCATTTTTGCAGGATAAACCTCTGTAACATCAAATAGAAATACTCCTGTTGGAACTTTTAAGTAGGGCAGAAGAGCAAGTGATATTTAGGCTCACCTTAAAGCCATCCTAGTTAAAGTAACATACCCTCATGCTACAGAGGCCTTTGGCCTCTCCAGCTGCCCACACCCTGCAGCTCAGCTCTCTGGCTGTGCACAAAACTCAATTCAGCTCATTCCCACAGGGATCAATCAGGTTCTGCCCTAGTAAAGTCAGGGTAATTACCACTGGGGTCTGAAAACACAAATGAGAGCAGCAGAGAAACCGTGCCCTCAAACACGAACGTGCTGGTACGGCAGAACTGAGCCCGTGCTGGGTCGCCCTGATTCATTTCTGTGTCACTCTGGGTGCAGGTGCTGTGATCTGAGCATCTCAACGGTGCTCAGATGATGCCCTGGCTGCTGTTGTGTGTTGGCAATGAATAGTTGGCAATGAATCCTGAGGAATACCAGAGCATGACGAGGTCTTGCTGAATCACCTCTTGCCTTTGCTGTAAGCTGACAGTTCAGAGAGCGTAACACAGCTGCTGGACAGGATGTTCTACCTGTCACTCAGGTCTGCCCCTCAAAAACATGTACTTTAGAGGAATGTTTTACAGGATTTTTATATATAAAAGTATTAAATACATGGACTATAACCCCAACCTTTTAGATTAGAAATGTGCTGCTAACACGTTGAAGACCTGTAGGTTTAACTGTTAAAAGCAGCGATGGCTGAGATCTTGAGAATTGACTCCATCCCATAGAAGAAGAGCAGAATACTGTTGAGGATGACATCGGTTTTCAGCACATAGGTTTGCCACACCAGGAAGTACACAGCCAGAAACACACTGCCCACTGTCATCACAAGACTGATCCCCAACAAACTCTCTTCTTCTGTCAGGTTCCCCCTTACACCTTGAAGGAAAGGAAAAGCTGATGTGAGTCTTTGTTTTCTTCTGACAGTATCACAGCTCTAAGTGTAGAATGTTCCTGTTCAAAACCAGCTCTGGTTCTTACATCTCAGCACACACTGAAATACTGGCCTGACCAGGCTCTGTCAGGGACCATCAGAACAAGCCCAAGCACCAGTGGACAATCCACTTCTTGCTGACCCAGGTTAATCTGAACAAAGAGCAGTCTGTGGATACCCAAGTCCTGGCTCCCACCTTTTCCTACCCCAGATAATCAGCTCTGAGGCTGCAACCCATTTTGATCACTCAGCTTCTTGGTCAACCAGCAAACTTGCCCCCAAACTCCCCAGGCTGCACTTGGTGTGACTGCAGCGCACACCTGAGAGCATCCAATCCTGATACTAAGATCTAAAACACTACAAAACCTCCTCTATTCCCTGCTGCTCCTATTTCAAATTACTACCATTGTGGAGAAGCTGCTCTTCTCTCTTCCTTGCATCTTATTTCGAAGCAGTCTCAGTAGGTTTTTGCTGGTTAACTACATTAGGCTTGAAATTCACTTCTTTATTCATGCCCCAAATGCTCCAAGCCAACATGTGCAAAGCTCGAAGGCAGCAGGCTGAGATCACCCCACGGCAAGTCAGCTGTAGCCAGCACAGACCCACCTGGTCTCAGCAATATCAAGCACAGATTTGGATACTAACTTGTTTCCTTATTAAAAAAGGAGTTTATGAAGTTTCAGCAAGACCTGGGCAGGGGTCAGGAGGCCCTTTGAAGCCTGGAGTACTGGTGTACATGAAGCCCTTAGAGCCTTCTCTTCTCCAGGTTGAACAAGCCCAGCTCTCTCAGCCTGTTCATGGAGAGGTGAAATCTACTCATCAGTCAGTGAACAACAGCCTCCAAATAGCTGTTATTCTGCTAAATTGGCATGTTTTGACACACATTGGTCCCAGAACGATCAGCACTTCGAGCTTGTATTGCATGAGAAGGCACAGTGGTAACGTGACCTACCCAGGTACAACCGGAGCGCTTCAGCAATGGCCGTAATGACAAGCAGGGTGAGATCAACAGACAAAAAGTCTTCTGGATAGCTGAAAGCTTGGCCTGGAGAGGAAGGCAGCATAAATGAGGCAGGAAAACCCAGCAGGGACACTGAGAGCACCCAGCTCTGCCGCAGGCACCCAGCCTCCTGCGGTGTTACGACAGCAGCAACTTACTTTTATAAAGCAACATTGCGAGAGTGGCCAGCAAGTAAAAGATTAAATAAAAGCCATTTACATAAAACAGAAGCTGTAGAGGGACAGCTGACATCTGAGAGCTGCTGTTAAGGACTTCTCATAGGGATGAGGTGGGATCTGCTTCATAAAATCACCATTTCCCACTAACTACAAAATACTGCGGGTTTTTAAACTCAGTGGATCAGCTGCAGAGGGTTTACTGGGTAGGATTCAGAGTACCTGAGGTTGCAAACACCAGGGGTTAGGATAGGAACTTGCTGTTTCAGGTTTGGCTTCAGCTCCTCTTCAAGAATGCCATTTGGTATGTGGTGGGGTGGTTCTTAGCCTCAGGGAAGGAGGGAGGTGCATGTGTGCGTTTCCACAACAACTTCTCTCCCTCTCAGTCAGCTTGAAGCGGTTGACAGGGGGTTGGCAGGCTCCCAGCACACCAGATGCCAGAGTTTTTGCTAATAGGTGGCTCTGTGAAGCAGCCAGGCCCCGTCACTTCCCATCCCATGCCCACAGGATGGGAAGTCTGAAAGCTGGGCTCTTCGTTACGCCTCTGAGAAAGGCCACGAGCTCAACCCTGAGATGCAGATCCATCAGGCACAGACTTCCTTAATTCACCGCTGACAAAGCTATCTGTTGGATCGTGTAAGAGCATTAGCTTTAGTTATTTGGCTGTATGGATCCATTGCCAAAGCACCTGAGAGCTCCACAAGCCTTAACACATTCCCAAAATGGCCCAGAAGGACAGGGGCTGTCTTACAGACAGGGAGACATTAGTAGCAGGCTCAGGATTGATTCTCTCATCCCAAGGTGGCAGCCACCTAAAGGTACCCATCCTGCCTAATTCAGCTGCCTGAGATCCCTCTGGATCCAGCAGAGATGAGCCCTTTCCTAGTCTCAATCTCCTGCACAGGCTGGAATGAGCCCTGTCCAGTGTTAACCCTGGTTTACTGGAGACACCACAGTCTTGGATGGCTTCAGGAGCCCACTGACAGACACAGCCCCTGTATGGCAGGCCCATATGTACCGAAGGAATCTTTTATTCTTAAGGCACAGCAGCGTGTTCCTAATGCCATATAGGAGACAGTGTAGGACATCCTGGAGCTCACCTCCACATGGAGAAGTTGGAATGTGGCTCCAAGAATCCACTTACATGTATTTTTGATCACAAACACCTTCCTTAGCCGTAAATAATCCAACTTAATTTATACAGGAAGTTATCTGTTCAGATTTCATTGTGTCCACATCTTTCTATACTCAAAATATCCCCTCCTCTCTCCCCCTCCCTTCTCAAATCCTTGGAGTATCTCCAGGCAGGGACTTCATCCCAGGCACCTTTTGGAGGCCCTGCCTAGCCCATTCCTGCATGGAGCAGCCACCCACCTGCAGTGGCTGTATCCCAGTTCCCAGAGCAGCTCCTGTCATTACACCAGAACCAGGTTTTTGTGTTTTTCCAGTTGAAGGAAGGTGGAGCAGAAAAATTACTAGATGGGCTCTATGCATGGAAATCTCTGAAGCTGAGGGTGTCTCCTCTCGGGAGATGCTTAGATCTTGGCAGGCGTAAAGGGAGAATTAACATGAGAGAAGAGGAAGTGCTACTGAAAGCTGCTTTTCCTACCTCCTGTTGTCTGTGCCAGCTGCCTGTGGGCTTTGCTGCATGGGGTTTGTGTCCAGCAGTCCACAAATCCCATTTTCAGCCTTGCTTCCTAGGGAAATGAGAGTTATGGGATCATAAAACGGGGCTGTCAACCCTCTGTCAAGACTGGGAGTTGGGATAAAGGGGCAGGGTCTCAAGCCAACCTCAGCTAATGCTGCAGAAAACAGTCTTAGGGGAAATGTTTTACCAGTTTTGCTTCATGTGGATGGAAAACCCAAGGAGTAACAAATCCAGCAGGTTTATTGGGTGGGTAAGATGGGAGCACATTTCAACCTGGCTTCCTGAAGGTTCCCACATGTGAGGGGTGACAGGTACCAAAAGGATACAATTGATTCAGATCTTCCTTTACGTGGAGAAGGGAAAAAGAAAAGAGAAGAAAATCAGTCTAATGATGCGACCAAAGTGCTGCAGAAACACTCAAACAACTGTTTTGAGAGGTCAGACATGTAGACACACTCTATCAGGTCACTGATGATTCATCATTCTCTCAGATCCCAGAGTCCAAAAAGAACCTTTTCAAATCCCTTCATTCTAAACTAATTTGGGGGAAATCCCTGCTGTGAAAGTGACTTTGAGAGGAACCCATCTCTTTCCCAACGTGAAGAAGAACCCAGGTGTTACCTAGAACTCGTTTATCCTGTCCTTGCGCAGCAGATGACATTCATCCCCTCTAACCATGCAGGAAGGAGGGAGACACGGAAGGGAACCAGAAGGTACCATTTGGTTTTCAATGGTGAGAAAGTGTTTGTGTAGCACATCAGGCTCCCAGTTCCTCTAAATAACAGCCTTCCAAACTGGTTCCCTTCAAAAGCAAAGTGATTCTATGTAAAACCGTAATCTATTCTGATCACCCCGAGAGTCCTACCTGGATTCCCTGCAAGCGAACCCACACGTTTTATTTTCCCTTCCTTTCTTCCTGCAAAAGCACAGGTAGAATTCCCTTGCAACGTGATGGCACTGACCTACTAAAGCAGCTCTTAAGTAACTCATTAACATTCTTGGCCTCTTTCAGCCAGAGGAGGAATTGAAAAGCTGGGATCTGTTTCACAGGGAGCAGAACTGTCCATGAGAGGCCACTGCATCCATCTGCCCTGAGACACCCCATTGTCATCCAGTCAGTGGGACATACCCTCTCAATCCCACAGCTCCTCAAGGCTAATGTCCTCCTCCCCTATTAGCTTTATGCCCGAATTAATCCCACTGACGTTAGGCACCTATGTAAGGGATTCAATTTGGGAACACAGGGAAAACAGGGAAGAATTTAAGGTGGTGATTCACACTGTCCATGCTCTGAAACACCTCCTGTCCGTGTATCCTCTCTGTAAAGGGACAGACCCGTCCCCTTGCTTAGCCAACATGCTTGAGTTCTTTTTGCAGGCCGGGAGTTAAAGGTTTCATAAGTACATTTGCTGCGGTGACTAATGGTTAAAATGGGTTTGTATTTCTACCCTGGTATAAACCCGCAGGCAAAAGTCACACCAAGATGATGCGCTTCACAGAGACATCTCTGGTTTGTAGTTTAGACTGGGAAGTAGGATGGGAATTTGAAGGAGAATCAGAGAATCCCAGAGTGGTTTGGGTTAGAAGGGACCTGAAAGCTCCTCCAGCTCCAACCCCTGCCACGGGCAGGGACCCCTTCCACTGGAGCAGCTTGCTCCAAGCCCCTGTGTCCAACCTGCCCTTGAGCACTGCCAGGGATGGGGCAGCCACAGCTTCTCTGGGCACCCTGTGCCAGCGCCTCAGCACCCTCACAGGGAAGAGCTTCTGCCTAAGAGCTCAGCTCAGTCTAAACCAAATACCACCACTGCATCTGCAGACCTGTCCTTATCCCACAGGGAGCATCTGGATCTGAACGTGTTCTGTAGGAGGCTTTACCAGCACAGCCTCACTGCGCTCCCCCACAGCAGTGCTATAATCACAGCGGGAATTCCACCCGAAGGGCAACCCCATGCGAATCCCCTCTTTGCAGCTCCCCAGGTTTCTTTTGAAGCTTATTTCTCCGCATCCTTTTGCACCAGAGGGCTCTGACGCCTTCCTGCTCCTCTCCCAGGGAGGTCTTGCACAGCCGCTATTACCTAGAACACGCTGCCTCCTCCCGGGCAACCCGGGGCACTTCAACCGGGTTGAACATGGGAACCTCACAACACGCCCGTGGAAGGGCTACTGCCCTGAAAGGGTAATTAAACCGGATCATTTCAGGTGTAACAACAGGCTGCTAATCCCAGCTCCTCCCCGAGACATCTCCCGGGGAGGATTAATGCAGTCTGCGTTGCTGCTGGGGGGGCGAGGTTGAATTGCAAGGGAGCATTTGGCAAACGCTAATTGTTGAAGCCAAACGTTTCAAAACCAGGTTTTTTTTCTACCCAGAGCTGAGATTTGCATGTTTTGGGGACACCTTTGAGTTCTTTGAAAGAAGTGGGAATTCTTCATGTGGAACGATCTTTGGATCCCAGTGGGTCATAAGCAGAGTGGTTCTGAGGGGAGACCTGAGAGCAGCTCCAGTGCCTAAAGGGGCTGCAGGACACCTGGAGAGGGGCTTGGGACAAGGGCCTGTAGGGACAGGCCAAGGGGAATGGCTTGAACCTGCCCGAGGGGAGACTGAGCTGAGCTCTTAGGCAGAAGCTCTTCCCTGTGAGGGTGCTGAGGCGCTGGCACAGGGTGCCCAGAGAAGCTGTGGCTGCCCCATCCCTGGCAGTGCTCAAGGCCAGGTTGGACACAGCGGCTTGGAGCAAGCTGCTCCAGTGGAAGGGGTCCCTGCCAGCAGCTGCCCGGATTTACCTCAACATATCGCTGCTGTCGCGATAAAGCAATCGGCCTGGGCTCGGCGCCCAGGCCTGGCTCGACCTCGGCCCCCTCCTCAGTCTGTGTCGTCCCCCCCCCCCCCCCCTTGGGGCGGTAAGAGACAAGCTCTGCCCCGGTGGGAAGCATCCCCGCCGGTCACCCTCCGCCCCGGCGGGACGCGCATACAGCGCTGCTGGTCACCATGGCGCCGGGCCGCTCACCTCGCCTCACAGCGGGCATCCCGGCCCGCCGCCCCCCCTCCCGGTCCTCCAGCGTCCCGGCAGGCTCCGCGCCGCGACCGTTTGTCCGCGCGCTGGGGCGGGGCTGGCTGCTCTATCCCCGCCCCTGCTGCCTTCGGGTGCGATCGGAGCGTTCGGCCCGGTTCGGGCGGATTCGGGCACTGCCCGTTCGGGCGTCTCCGTTCGGGCCGGCGAAGGCGAATTCGGGCGCGCTCGGAGAGGACTCGGCACAGCTCGGCTTCGCTCGCGCCCGCCTCACCCGCCTTCGGGCAAGATCGGAAAAGACCGGCACGAGCTCGGGATTCTTCGACCCTCTGGGCCGGACCGCTCGGGGACTCGGCCCTGTTCGGGCGCGCTCGGGTTCCCCACCCGAACTGTAAGGTATCGCTTCGGGCCGCGCGCCTACGGACTCGGCCGCGTCCTGCCTTGGGATTGGCCAGCCGGCAGGAAACGCGGGCCCCGCTCGTCGGGAACCATCGCTCGCCTTCGGACGAGGCCTCGGAACACTTCGGGCACCGTCGGAAGCGCTCGATTCCGCCCTCGGAACACGCTCGGAAGCGCTCGGCCGAGTTCGGCCCCCCCCGCCCCCCGGCTAAAAAGCGCTCGAGTGACCTCGGAGGACCGGTCCCGTCCCCCCGTGCCCCCCCCTTCCCCACCTCACGGCCCCCTCCCGCCCGCGGGACCCTCAGCAGCCCCCGGGACCCGTCCGGCCGGGGTCTGCTCCCGCCGCCCGCCTCGGATGGAGGACGCCGACTCGGCGGCGAAGCAGCTGGGCTTAGCGGAGGCGGCGGCTGTGGCGGCGGCAGCCGCGGTAGCGGCGGCTGCGGAAGGGCCCGGGCAGCAGGAGCAGCCTCCGCAGCCTCCGCAAGCGGCGGCCTCGCAGTCAGAGGCGGCCGCGCAGGTGACGGCGGTGACGGTGATGGCGGCGGACCCCGAGCACATCGAGATGGGAGCCGAGCCGCTGCCGAGCGCCGACGAGGCCGCCGCCACCTTCGCAGGTCAGGGCGGGCGGAGCGCGCATGCGCAGCTCCCTCAGCCCCATCGCCCGCCCGCTCCCGTACCTCAGGGCCGGGCTGTGCCCGAGGCGCCCGCGCCCTCCGTGAAGTGACCCCGCTCCTCGCTCCCACACCGCAGCACCCGCAGTCACACGAGCAGGGTGCGCTGTGCCCCCGCGGTTGGAGCCCCTGCCCCGTTCACAAAGCGCCCCGGGCCGTGGGGGGCTGTGGGGCACCGGAGATGGCGGAGCCCCTCCCGCCTGAGCGCGGTCTCCCTGCGAGCTGCAGGGCCGTGCCCTCCCTGTGAGCCCTGTGTGACACTGATCGGCCGGGTTTAGCCCGGCAGTCAAACACCCCGCACGGAACGGAAGCGTCTGGGTGTAAGTTTGGACAGTTCTTAACTGGGCCAAGAGCAGGGAATGGCACCCCAGAAACTGGTACGGTTCTCTTGGTGCTTGCCAGACACCCCTCTTCTAATAAACAGCATCACAGTTCGGGTTGGGGTTTCCGTGTGGCTGCAATGCTCGTTTCCCCTTTAGTTCGTCCCATGCTGATAACCGCTTTTATGCTCTCAGAGGTTAAAGCACGTTCAACCCAAAGCTTGGTAAAAATCCAGCTGAGTGTGCTCACAACACCTGCGAGGGGCCACGAGCCCCAGGACTGCCCTTGAATAGGAAGGAAGGAAGAAACATGACTCTCTTTATGGATGTTTAGCTCATTATCAGGCCTTATGATATATATGTTATCTATATATAGATATATATCAGGCCTTAGGATATATATGTTATCTATATCAGGCCCTATGATATATATGATATATGTCAGGCCTTAGGATATATATGTTATCTATGTCAGGCCTTAAGATATATATGTTATCTATATCAGGCCCTATGATATATATGATATATATCAGGCCTTAGGATATATATGTTATCTATATCAGGCCCTATGATATATATGATATATATCAGGCCTTATGATATATATGTTATCTATATCAGGCCCTATGATATATATAATATATGTCAGGCCTTAGGATATATATGTTATCTATGTCAGGCCTTAAGATATATATGTTATCTATATCAGGCCCTATGATATATATGATATCTATATCAGGCCCTATGATATATATGGTATCTATATCAGGCCCTATGATATATATACCAGGCCCTATGATATATATGGTATCTATATCAGGCCCTATGATATATATATGATGTATATACCAGGCCCTATGATATATATGATAAATCATGCCCCAAGCACTAAGTTAATGCGGTGCCTTCTTTGCGTTTCAGAAGTCACCACGGTGACGGTCGCCAGCGTCGGGGCCTCTGCAGACAATGTTTTTACCACGTCCGTGGCCAACGCAGCTTCCATTTCAGGACACGTGCTGGTAAGCCTGCCCTTTCCTGCGGTGGCATGAGCCAGGTCCCACCTCCTCTCGTAGTGTAAATGAAGGTCTGAGCTGTGGGAAGGCCAAAGGCGTGTTTTCATCGCAGGATACAGGCTTTAAGCCACAAAACCCTTGTCTGGGGGACATAGTTTTCTCCTTTATCACTTACGAAAGTGATTTTCACCTCTCCACCCTCATATACTCATTCTGCAATGGATCTGATAGCCTGCAACGTGTAACCTTTGAGTCTGGTCGGCAGAAACCTCCCAAACTAACCTAATAACTGCCACAGCGATTAGTGGTTTAGGGTACCTTTGAGAGGATTGGGGGGGTATATTAAAGCACATTGGTCTTTTAACTCCATCGATCTCAACTCTTTATTTCCTCTGCAGTCTGGGAGAACAGCCTTGCAGATTGGGGACAGCCTGAACCCCGAAAAAGCCACTCTCATCGTGGTGCACACGGACGGCAGCATTGTGGACACCACGGGGCTGAAGGGGCCCTCCACGCCTCTCACACCAGGTATAAGGCAGGCTGGTTTTAACTGGCATTCTCCTGGAGGGCTCACTTTTCTCCACTTCCGTTGTGTTTCTAGGAGTAAAAACCACTATGTGCATAATATCATGTAAAGTTGCTTTATAAGGATCATTTGTCCCCTCTTTGCATGGTACTTCTTGTATTATCTGGGAGCAAAAGAGTTACTTTTATGGTTTGTTTTGTATTTCCATGTCAGAAATAGATTTAATTCTCTTATTAGTTGCGCTGCCCCTTGCAAATAAGCTTCCTGGGAAGTCTCACCCTGCTGCTGGGCTGTCACAAGCCTTTCTGCAGCCCTCCCAACCCAAAGGCAGATGGATCAGTTTAATATAGATAATGCACTTGGGTTTTAAAGTTCTTCTAGTGCTGCACATGGGTTCTTTTTAAAGGGTCCTTGAATACAGTTTTATCTCCAGGCAGGCCACTTGCTGGTGTTGTAAGTGTCACAACAGCAGATGTCTGGATCCATAAGGTTTTGCTGACGGCTGTTTCCTCTTGCCACAAGATGGCACAACAAACCCGCAGCGCTGCTGCTCGGCCTCTAGGAAGGGGAAGAGGCATGCAGCTGCTTAGCCCTGCTACAGGTTACAATTTCAGCCTGTAGCATGCTCTTAAGTGTTTCCTCAGAGGCAGTTTGCTTTCTGTTCAGTCATTTTGAGCTGGGCTGGTTCAGCCTGGAGAAGAGAAGGCTTCTGAAGGGAGACCTTAGAGCAGCTCCAGTGCCTAAAGGGACTGCAGGAAAGCTGGAAAGGGGCTTGGGACAAGCGCCTGGAGGGACAGGCCAAGGGGAATGGCTTGAACCTGCCAGAGGGGAGACTGAGCTGAGCTCTTAGGCAGAAGCTCTTCCCTGGGAGGGTGCTGAGGCGCTGGCACAGGGTGCCCAGAGAAGCTGTGGCTGCCCCATCCCTGGCAGTGTTCAAGGGCAGGTTGGACACAGGGGCTTGGAGCAAGCTGCTCTAGCGGAAGGTGTCCCTGCTAGTGACAGGGGTTGGAGCTGGATGAGCTTTAAGCTCCCTTCCATCACAAACCAGGCTGGGATTCTATGACTGAGAACACTGAAGCTGAATTTTTTGTGGTGCACCATGTAACACGTGGCTGTGGAGAGGTGTCAGTCACATCAGTTAATCACTTGACACTTGCTGTGGCCAGACTGTGCGGGTAACGATGCATCCAATGGGCTTTTCAGTTGCCGTCACCTCTTTTCCCTTTGTTTTTCCAAAGGACCTCAGTCTTCTCCTACCCCTCTGACATCTGTCCAAGAGAAAACTGGAACCAAGTACAACTGGGACCCATCCGTGTATGAGAACGAGCTCCCAGTGAGGTGCCGGAACATCAGTGGCATCCTCTATAAGAACAGACTCGGCTCAGGTAACAGTGACCTTCTTGGGTGAGGAGGGAGCCTGACAGCTCCTCTTTGATGCTCTCTTCTTTTAGTCAAGTTTACTGGTTCAAACTGAAACAGGGGAAGTTTAGATTGGATCTAAGGAGGAAATTCTTTCCTGTGAGGGTGCTGAGGCACTGGAATGGGTTGCCCAGGGAGGTTGTGAATGCTCCATCCCTGGCAGTGTTCAAGGCCAGGTTGGACGAGGCCTTGGGTGCCATGGTTTAGTGTGAGGTGTCCCTGCCCATGGCAGGGGGGGTTGGAACTGGATGATCTTAAGGTCCTTTCCAACCCTAACTATTCCATGATTCTATGTTACTTTTCAGGGCTCTTCCTGAGGGAAGAGAAGACAGTTTCCCATCCCTTGTTCTCTTCTGGTTTGCTCTGTCTTCAGAGGCTTTTTAACTTCTCTTTAATCTGTGAATATCCCAGCTGCTGTGCAGTGAGTCTCCCCAGCGATAGCTTGACTCCTCTCATATTCTTTTTTGCCTCAGTAGACCCATGTTTCTCTAAAGAATGACTGCTGGAAGGGAAAATAGAGAGCTTGTCTCCTAGTGGGACTCCTTAGCTGCCTTAGCCCCTCCTCTTCTCTTTTCTCTCTGTGGGAAAGCTGAAGCAACAGCAGCAGAATCTGTCAGCAAGCCTGACAGCACAGCACAGCGCTTCCTTCATGGACAGTGTTATCTTCCCCACCAGAAGGATTAGAAATTGAAGTGCAAATTAAGGAAGAGCTTCAGTTTCTGGTGTTTTTGCAGGAAAGACTTATCCTTCCTGTGGATGAGGAATTTTTTCCAGCCTTTTGATGTGTTGGTGAGGCCTGAAGATGGAGCTCTCTAAACATGCACAGTCATTGCTGAAGCCAAGATAATAAATGGGCATGGTTACCCTGGAGTGGTGGGAAGTAGCAGATGGGTGTATTTGGTGATTGCCAGAGATGAACTGCTGTTTAGTCCTGCAAGTTCAGCATTTCCTTCTTTAGGAAAATGACAAAATGGTTCTTAACCTTTACTAACAATGTCTTTCCTCTGCTTTATTTCAGGAGGCCGTGGTAGGTGCATTAAACAAGGGGACAACTGGTACAGCCCTACTGAGTTTGAAGCTATGGCGGGACGAGCCAGCAGCAAAGATTGGAAGAGGAGCATCCGCTATGCTGGGAGGCCACTGCAGTGCCTTATCCACGTAAGTTTGCTTCCTCCCTCCTGCTGGAGGGGCAGGTGGAGCAGCCCAAGCTGTGTGTGCT